TCTGGTTAAGCCTGTTAACATTTGGTGAAATAGAAAACAAACGGTATATCTTAGTTGTTTATATCTTTGCCCCCCATATTATATTGTAAACAGGAATTCTTGTTAGCAGAAATTAAAATTTTTTAAATGGTATTCTTGGGACGAGCAGATGGCATAATGATTACGTTGTTGGACTCCAACATGACCAACTGGGTAAGTACCAGACCCAGAGGCTTGAAACTCACACTGGGTGCATGTGTGAGCATGCCCAAAATCCTGAGAGGAGACTAGAGGAGAAGGGACTGTGGTGTGGCCATCCCCTCTGGGGGGTGATTTCTCACTTTCTGTCTCTCTGTCTCTCTGTCTCTCCTGTGAGTACACAGCTACTGTAGTAAAAATCTCTCTCTCTTTTGCTTCTTTCCTTTTTTTAGACGTTTTTGTCTTAGGGTGCATGTACTTACCTGAGATAGAGAGAGACACAGTGAGAGAGAAAATGAGAAATCATCCCCCCAGGGTTGGTGGCCATGCCACAATCCCTTCTCTATTTTCCCTGGATCTTGAGCACACACACACACACACACACACACACACGCCTGGCATGATTTTGAAATCACCAGGGACCCAAACCACAATTGGCCAAGCATGAGTCCAGTGATGTAACTGCTACACCAACTGCTGGTCATTCAAAAATCTCTCTTAAAAAAAAATGGTATTCTCAGTGCCTACCTCAATATTTGGCATATTAGGTGGTAAATAAAAATGAATAGATAACTAATTTATATTGCCCTAAACATGCAAGTGTTAGGAGTGTGCAAGGGAAATATTATCTACTGCTCCAGTGAAATAGAATTCAGGTAAAAATTCTAGAACTTCATTGTTCAATATAGTAAGTGGCAGACACACATTCTATTTACGTTAAAATTAAAATTAATAAAGATAAAATTAAGTTAAAAGCTCAGTTCCTCAGTTGCATATCTGTATTTTTTTTTTTGGGGGGGGAGAAGTTTTTGCTATAGGGCGCGTACGCGCACCAGACAGACAGAGAGAGACAGAGAGACAGAAAGTGAGAAACCACCCCCCACGGGGGGTGACCATACTGCAATCGCTTCTCCTCCATTCTCCTTTCAGGATCTTGGGCACACACACACATGCGACTGGCATGAGTTTAAGCCACCGGGTCCAGGACTCGAACCATGGTCGACTACATGGGAGTCCAGCAACACAGACATTATGCTAACTGCTGGTCCCACATATCTGTATTTTAAGTGCTCAAAATCCAAATAAGACCAGTGGCTACTATACTAGACAGTGAAGATATTGGACATGTCCTTCAAAGTTCCACTGAATAACACTCTTCCAGAGAGTGTAAGATTTTCTTTATTCTAAAAGCAAAATCTACATGGTAGTATAAAAATTTGTATATACTCAGGTTATTTTGTGTATATGAACACTCTCAATCTTAAGGAGTTCTAGGAGGACCCCATCCATTCTACATTTCTTCATCAACATGCATATTTTTGATAGCTTTATTATTCTTGATAACATTTTAAAATTATTATTATTATTTTATTGCTATAGGGCATATGTGTTCACAAGAGAGAGAGAAAAGGAAAGTGAAAAAGCATCCATCGGGGGAAATGGTTATACCATAATTCCTTCTCCATTGTCTTATTGGGATTTTGGACATGCTCACACATGTGCCCAATGTGCTTTACTTTCTTTTTTTAGAATTATTTTTATTTAATTTTGTTTGTAATTATTATTATTATTATTATTTTTTGAGAATTTTTTGCTATAGGGTGCATGCACTCACCAGAAAGACAGAGACATAAGAAATCACCCTCCAGGGCAGGGGATGGCCATGTAGCAACCCCTTCTCCATTCTCCTCTTGGGATCTTGGGCATGCACACACATGTGCCCGGCATGAGTTTAAGCCACTGGATCCAGGACTTGAACTGTTCAGCGACATTGCCTTTACGCTAACTGCTGGTCCCATGTAATTGTTATTTTTCAATTTGCTGTAGGGCAGATGTGTTCACCAGAGAGAGAGAGAGACAGAGATAGAGAGGTAAAGTATGAAAGCAAGCCACCAGGTCAAGCCACCAGGTCGAGGACTTGAACCATAATTTGCCACATGGGGGTCCAGTGCCTTAAACACCCCATCACCTGCTGGCTCCTCAACATGTTTTTCATGCCTCCAGATCTGGGACTAAAACTGAGCAGTTGGCCACATGGGGATCCATCTGCCTTAACCACCACACCACTGACTAGCACAATTCTTGATAATTCTTTAAGAATTTTAAAATAAACTCAAAATTCTATAGGAAAGAAAACATCTTAAACAAGTGGATGTCATACTTGTGCTTACTAAATATTCACATTCCTAGGTTTACCTGCAAAACCCTGATGCAATAGGTCTGAGGTGTCTTTTCTCTCTCTCTCTCTTTTTTTTGGAGAGGATTTTGCTATAGGGCATGTGCGCTTGCCAGAAAGCAGAAAGACAGAAAGACAGAGAGATAGAAAACGAGAAATCACCCCCCAGGGGGGGATGGCCATGCCGCAATCCCTTCTCCTCTATTCTCCTCTCAGGATCTTGGGCATGCACACACATGCATGAGTTTAAGCCGACGTGAGTTTAAGCCACCAGGTCTGGACTCGAACTGCGGTTGACTACATGGGAGTCCAGTGACATAGTCATTAAGCTAACTGCTGGTCTCTTTTCTTTTTCTTTTTTTTTATTTTAAGAAGTATTCACTCATCTTATTTATTATTATTTTTAAATTTGTTATAAGATACATGCAATCACCAGAGAGAGAGAGACAGAGGGAAAAAGAGAGAGGGGAAAAGTGAGAAAGCAAAGTGCAGGTCTGGGACTCAAACTGTGATGGGCCATGTGGGAGTCCCACACAATAATCATCATGCCACCTGCTGGCCCCAGTCATTTTTAGAAACCTCCCAAATGTTTTCGATGCAGGTGATCCATGGGTTACATACGGAAAAATTTAGCCTAAGGATTATATTCTTTCTTACTTTATTCAACAGCCACATTGAGCTTCTTCATGTTATAGATCCTATTCTAGACACCAGGGCTATAAATATGAAGGGAGTGTGTATTAATGGAAAAGGTATTAATGAATGGGACTTTTGTGAACATATTTATCTAAGAATCATTGGCACCTTAATAAACACTTCCTGTCCAAACCTGCCTCAGGTTTTCCCCCAGTGCATCTGGCTTGTCTTTTCCCATATGCAAAGAGGAGTCCAGGAAGTAGTAGCAGTAATAGTAGTAACAGAAGAGAAGAAAAAAAAGAGAAAGAGAAGTAAAGGGAGAAGGAGATGGAGGAGAGAGAGTGGCAGAGGAAAGGGGAGGAGAGGAAGGACGGAGAAAAGAAAGAAGTGAAGAAAGAAGGAGAAAACAGGATGGATCTGAAAAATAAGATGGAAGGTGAATAGATAGAGCTTGGCAGTTAAATGTGATGTAAGGCAGTAAGTAAGAGGAAAGAGCTGGAGATGAAGTTTAGCCTTCTGTCCTGGGGTAGTAGACAATAGGGCTAGTCACTGAAGCAGGGAATGCAGACAGAATAGAGAGAAAGAACATGGTTTTGTTTTGACATCTTGGACCTGTATGCTACCTCTTTCACTTGCAGGTGGAGATATTCAGCTGGGTACACAGTTTTAGAGCTTTAAACATATCGATATGGGATGCCATGATACATGGAACCATGAAAACGAACAGAAGAATGAAATACTGTAGAGAAAGAACAGAAGGCTCTGAAGAATGGAAATATTTAGGGCAGTGATTCTTAACCTTTGTAGATTGATGGCCTTTCTGACAATGCCAAATTTCAGACTTATGAGATTGTGATATTCTCAAGGTGTTGAGTCCTATTGAGAACTGCCAAATACTTCAGTTGTTAAGGGATGAAAGAAGAAGGGAAGACCAGGATGGACAATGAGATGGGGAGTCAAGTATGTAGCAAGAAAGCTAGATTGTCAGCTCATAGAGATTTATTCCTGTGGTCTAATGCAATAAAAGCTATAAAATGTCTAAATGAGCAGCTTGCTTGTTTTATATTTTGATTGTAAAACCAGGAAAGCATAATGCACATTTGGAAATAATTTGTTGATTCTCTTTTTCTTAATAGCCTGTCAGAACCAGCAATTGAATTCCTCCTCCATTTACTTTTGGGTTTCTGTTGTTTGACTCATAGAAGCCATGGTTTAGTGAATTTAGGAAAGATCATCTTTTCAATTTATTCATTTCTTTCTTTTCTTCTCCTTCTTTTTCTTTTTTAAAAATTTTTTGGAGAGTTTTTTTTCTGTAGGGCACATGTACTTGCCAGAGAGACAGAAAGTGAGCAATCAGCTCCCAGAGGGAATGACCACACCATAATCCCTTCTATTCCATTCTCTTCTCAGGATCTTGGGCATGCACATACATGTGCCCAGAGTGTATTAAGCTGCCAGATCCAGGACTTGAACTGTAGTCAACTATGTGGGAGTCCAATGACATAACCATTACACTAACTGCTGGTCCCTTTTCGTTTATTTCTGGAGAGAGAGAGAGGAGAGAGAGAGAGAGACAGAGAGACAGAGAGAGAGAGAGATAGAGAGAGCACTCTGATAGAGTCCCTATGCTGTAACCCACTCCAAGCTTCAGCAGGCCCTGTATCATTGGCACACAGGAACCAAGCATACTCTGGGAGGTCTCCAGACTTGAACTGGAAACCTTCCCATGTGGGATTGCCCTGTAAAGAAAGTATTACTATTATACTATTGTTTGATTCCAGAAAAATTAATTTCTTAGACTATATAAGGGTATATTTCAAAAAAGCTGTGGAAAATGGAATTAAAACCTATCTATGTATAGGTTTTCATAGTACACATTTTTAAACAAACTTTTTAAGACCCTTTATGTAAATGATCGCATAATGATTTTCTCTTCCAAATAGGCATAAGAGAAGAGTAAGGCAGCATGCAATTGTCTTAGTGGGATCTCTTCCTTTTATGTCATACTTACCTACAGAAGTAATGATAACTGTGAAACGAGTTTCATCTCGCCTTCCAGTTATGTTGTTGTAAGCACAGCACATGTAGTCAGCTGTCTTCTGGGCAACTTTCTCAGATGTAACTTCTAAGCGAGGCCCATGCTTAATGACATATGTCGTATTGTCAGTCCTCCGGATCCAGGAGTAAGTGTTGGGGGGATAAGAATCAGCCGAACAATCAAATAGGATGGCTTCTCCAAGGTCAACAGTAAACACTTCCCCTACTTTTAGCCCTTTATCAGAATTAACTTGAAGTCCATAAGGTCCATCTGCATCAATGCAAAAAAAGAAATAGAGGGAACCAGCAGTTAGCGTAATGACTATGTCGCTGGACTCCCATGTAGTCATCCGCGGTTCGCGTCCGGACCTGGTGGCTTAAAACTCACGCCGGGCGCGTGTGCGTGCGTGCCCAAGATCCCGAGAGGAGAATGGAGGAGAAGGGATTGTGGCGTGGCCATCCCCCCTGGGGGATGATTTCTCGCTTTCTGTCTCTATGTCTCTCTCTGTCTGTCTGGCAAGTGCACGTGCCCTTTAGCAAAAACCTCTCAAAAAAGAAAAAAGAAAGAAAGAGAGAGGTAACAAATAATCACAACATAGTTTTTGAGTTAGGGAGAATTTAATAGTATTTTACTTTCTTTGAAAGTCTTCATGTTAGACTTGGGCAAACTGGTTTTTTAGGTGTCCAATAAATGCTGAGGTCCTAAATATGTATTATTATGATATCTATAAAATTGCAAATTATTTGTGATTAAAATTATTTTAAATAGTGGAAGCCTAAAATTTAGTATATAATTTTACAAACACAACACCTTTATCATTATCACGATGCTAAGTTCTTGAGTAATGTTTTGGTAATTCTATAATCTTGTTTGATAAACTCAATCTATTTAAAGAGTAATTGTGCTTAAGAATATTTTTACAGGAACCAGCAGATGGTGTAATGGTTATGTTGCTGGACTCCCACGTGGCCGGCTGTGGTTTTAGTCCCAAACCCAGTGACTTCAATCTCACACTGGGTGTGTATGTGTGCATGCCCAAGATCCCCTGAGGAGAATGGGGGGAAGAGACTGCAGCATGGCTATCCTCCCTAAGGGGTGATTTCTCGCTTTCTGTCTCTCCAGTTGAGTGCATACACCCTATAGCAAAAATCTCTCTCTCTCTCAAAAAAAATTTTTTACAACAGATTATCCTTATTACTTCCTCTTTGACAATCATACTTTTGAGTATTACCTGCCTTTCTTCTCTGAGCTAGGATAGGTCATGCAAATATTTATAAAACACATGATTTGGGGACCAGCAGTTAGCATAATGGCTATATGTCTCTGAACTCTCATGTAGTCGACCGTGCTTTGAGTCCTAGACCTGGTGGCTTAAACTCACGTTGGGCGCATGTGCGTGCGTGTCAGGATCCCAAGATCCTGGAGGAGAAGGGATTGCGGCATGGCCATCCCCCCCCGGGGGGGTGATTTCTCGCTTTCTGTCTCTCTCTGTCTTTCTGGCAAGCACACGCACCCTATAGCAAAAACATCTCAAAACAAACAAACAAACATAATTTTACATGGAACATAGATTTATGCAAATAGATATAGGAGTGTTCCAAATTTTCATACATTTTAACAGTTGAAGAATTAAAAAAATTTTTTCTCCCAAGGCTAAGCTTAAGATTCCATTTGCAAAAAAAAGTACATTTTCATTATCATTAACAAATTTCACTGATGATTAATAAACTACTTAATCATGGATATCCAGTGGTGCTTTTCCCCATACTGTAATACTACTTAGCATTTTGCTATTTCTACAGGGTATCAGATTGCCAGCAGAGGAAGATACATTTCCCACTGCTTTCTTCAGAGAATAAGTAAAAAGAGAGATTTAAGATGTTCCCCAGCTAGATAAGCCTTCCCATCCAGTCTAAATCCTGGTTTATATTATAAAAATTTCAAGTGTTACATTTGGTATTGCCTATGATCTGATTCAGTTGGTCACTACTAACATTTATTAGATATTTGCCATACGAGGGCACTTGAGTGTGTATATGTTTCACGTTTAAAGAAATCATATAAGATAGATATTATTATTCTAATTATGAGGGAAGAACTATTTTAAAAATGCATTTGTCCATGGTAACATAGCTATTATATAGAAGAGCTGAGACTCTAAAATAGATGCATTTAATCATTCATATTTCTTCCTTTAAGAAATGAAGTATAAATGGTATAACTTTATATATTAGAATAGTTTCTTGTCTCACTATATTATCAGACTTTTACTACATTATTATTTAATTATATGTTAATTATGTAATCAGCCAATCAAACAATCCATTGAGTTTATTTGAGAGTTAATAAATGTATAATATACGGGAACTGGAAAGAAGTATGGCATAATTTTAATCCTCAAGAAATTTACAAACTGGATAAGGTTATGGATGTGTTTGCTCACTAATCACCTCATCTCAAAGGTCCTGATTTTTTTTTTAAAGTTCTGACTATTCATCTTTCATCATGTGGAATAATAAAATGTAATGACCAGACATTAGGATAACTAAATTTACTATTCACTAGTGAACTGTTCTTTAGAAGTTATTTAAATCTTTTTGGATATCATTTTTCTCACCTTTTAATACAAAAAGATGGACTTGATTGCCAGGATTTTTCTACCTTTGAAACACCAAGATTCATGCCACACTAAAGCTATTTTGGATAGTGGCAAGTTGATCTGAAGTTTGCAGGTTTCCAGAGTGGTTCTCTATTATTTTAGCATTTTCTGACCAATATACTACCGTTGGAGAAACAATTTTTTAAAGGAAGAACAGAAACTGAAGATGCAAAACAACAGATTATATTCAGCTAAGGGAACACACATGTATACATATTTGCTTCCTAAAGACATGGAGAAATACAAAGGGACCCTAGGAATATGTCTTTTTGCATATATCTCCATGTGAATTGCCAGAGGATGCATGCACTTGCCGGAGAGACAGAGAGATAAAGCACTCCTCAGTGCGGCACGGTCATACCACAGTATCTTTCATCCATGTATATGCCCAGCATAGTTTTTAAGCCTCCAGGCTGGGATTAGAACCACAATCAGCTATGTGGCTTCCAGTTCCCAACATGATAGTACATATGTGCTGTGGGGCCAGTCCCAGATTTTATATTAACATGCTTCCATGATGTAACCCTCCTTTGAGAAGGCAGACACATTAAGTCAGTACTTTCAAATTTTAAAGTAGTCAGGAACTGGGGATAGAAGATTAACATGAAAAAACTGACGCCATTTTCCTGTGACTGTATCAGTCCTGTTCTCTTATTTCAGGTGATGATATGAAAACCACTGGGACAAGAGGTTTAGGACAGTGTGCTTTCTAATGGAACATTTTTTCCCAGAATTCCACTAAATTATAAGTAGTATAATGAGAATAAAAATTTGCTTTTACTCACATTACCAAAGTCAACACTGAGATGTTACTGTGTACTTGGTACTGTCCTAGGCATTGTGAGGGAATCTGAGATGTCAAAAACATGATGGCTCATGTGGCTATTATCTGTGGCCCTGTACAGCAGAAGGGTCTGCACAAGTTGTCAGCATTGATAGGACATTAGGAAAGCAAAGGCCACCTATCCAGGTCCTGGTTGTAGTGATAGTTCACATTGAAGGAAACCATCCCGAGGAATGAATCATGGTTTGTAAGAGCAAGAGCACTGGATCTATGCACAAAAAACTAAAGTCAGAGAGCCTTTCCAAGAGGACAGCAAGGGAGACTTGATAAGAGAAATGTGGTCATAAAAATATTGTCATTTACACAGTGACAGAGCATGTTCAACAAAAGGTCAATCTCACGTGGTGGTTGTGGTTTGAATCCCCAGCTAGGTCAGCCTGAAGCACACCAGGTGCCAAGATCTGATGGACTAGAAGAAGGGGATCACTGTGTGACCAGAACCTCTGAGGGTGTTCATCTCCAATTGAGGGGTGCTTTCTCCCTCTTTTTCTCTCCCTGGCAAGAGCTTAAGAGCGTATGTCTCCTGGTTTTAAAATATATCTGATAATCTAATACACACAAAAATGACTGTTGCTCCTTTCAAAGCATGCTGACGTTATTCAAAATTATTTTGGGAAACTCATATGGTTTTGCCTCAAGATTTGAAACATAATTTAGTATTTGAAAAAGGAATAATTCTGCAATTTTGGAGGGTAGGTTCCATACTTCTAAGAAAAAATTTAGCTTATCTTTTCTAATCATGTTTGTTTTGATTTGCTACTTTTCAGTTTGTTGGGTTTGGGGATTGGCATAGTGTTTTTTTTTTTTCCCCTGTCTTATTTATTAATATATGCTCAAAGATACCTTCCAGCTTCTAAACCTAACACCTTAAAGAATTTAAGTGTTTGCTTCTGATATAGTCCCATAAATTGTAACATATTTTACCTTACTGCATAAAAAATAATTCTCGCTGAAGAAAAATCTTAAAATTCAGGCAAGTGCAAGGACGAAAAAAAGTCATTTGCAATTTCACTGCTCAGAAAAGTAATATCCACATTTCAATGTATGATCCTGAAGTCTCTAGTCTACTCAATTTTCTCTTTTTCTCTGTCTCTCTCACATCTATCTAAGTATATCTCTACACACTGCTTACAATATATTTTCTTTAGACTAACTATGAGGGGGTTTAGTATTACAAAAAAAATTACATGAATTTCAGATTTTTTTACACCACAATAAATTTGTACTTTAATTTCTTGTTCCTACAAATTTTTATACCCTCCTATGATGTCATTTCCTTATCAGTCACACTTTAGACTTTCTATCTTCTATTGGGAGGTGTAACTTAGGACATTATTCAAGTGAATGGGCAATCTAATTAGGGACATTTAGAGTAAATCAGCCTCAGTGGCCTCTGATATTAAAGATGAAAGCAGAGGACAATTCTATTTTGACTTTGGATTATCATTCATTTTCTTGCCTTCAGCAGAGAGCTCCCAATAGAAATGAACCCTTTGCCTCAGGAATGGCTGTTTACTAAATGACTTGTAAAATACATGTCATCTGTTCTCTTTAACAATTTATGGCTGGGCGGGAACAGTACCTAAATTTCCCTCCTGATGCTGCTTGCCACCCTGCTTGAGAGCAGATGGTAAGTATTTACTATGAATGACCTTTATTTTCTTTCATTTTTATCACTTAAAATACTCCCCTGCAGCAGTGCCATATGTTACACAGAAAATGTACTGGTTATCAGGTTGTTATTTACAACTGGAGCTGGAAGCCATA